AAAAAAGTAAAACAGATTATTTTCCAAAGCATTTGCAGTGAACATTCATTAATGTTCCTCATTTGTTAGGACCTTCAGAGCAAACCAGGATGCAAGGTTGGTGAGCTTTCTGTGCTTGCAGGGCCTGGTTAAGGTTTGCAGGGCCTGGTTAAGGTGGTTATGAAGCTACAGGAGAAAAGCCCCCTGAAATTCCCAGTGGTCAGGCAGATTGCTGATTGGTGCATCAGACAGATGAAGAGCATAGTGCAAACATTCCTCCAGGGCAAGCAGCTGGCAGGTGGCATCCCAGCTGATAACAAATTATTGTACAGGGACAGTTAAAAGTGCGTAGGTTATTCAGATTGATTAAAGTCATGTGTAAGAAGTTTCATTAGCAAGATGGTTTTCTGCATTCTCCTCTCAACAGTGAGATGAGAACACATTCCTAGCTCTATGATGCTGTGATATATGTATTGTCAAATGGGTGACTACTGAATTTAAATGACCTATTAATTACCTTAATTTCTGTGTCAATGTCGTAGGTGATGTGATCATTCAGCAGTTCACGTCATTTCTGTCTCTTGAGGCCAGAGATGAACGCTTCCGCTCTTTTCAGCCTTTGAAGCAGCGTGTGGATGTATTTCTACACTCAACGCTCAGCACATCCTACACTGACCTGTTAAGGTTCTGCCAGAGCCTTTTACTGCTGTCACATGGACAAGCCAGCGTGGAGAGAGGTTTCTCCATAAACAAGGAGGTGGAAACATGTAACCTTCTAGGTGAATCCTTGGAAGCACTGAGGTTAATATGTGACAATGTCAGTAGCTGTGGTGGTGTCCTCAAGGTGCCTTTAACCAAGGACCTGCTGGCCTCTGTGGCCTCAGCAAGGTCCCAGTACAGGCTATACCTTGAGCAAGAACGCAAAAAGAGGGAGAGTGCTGCTCAGACACTGAAGAGGAAGGCCACAGAGGAAGAACTAGTGGAGCTCAGACAGCAACACAGAGTCCTGGACGATGTCTGTGCCATCCCTGAAAATGATGCCAACAAGTTGGCCGAGGTGGCAGAGGGGAAGGCTGGGTCAAAAATGGCCCAGCTTATCACTAAATCCAATACACTCAGAAGGAGATATAAAGAGAAAAAAGAGGAACTGGATAAAATGGACAAAACTATTGAAGAAAAGGCCATGCAATTAAGACACTTGCCATAAAATTCTTTTGCTCATGAGTTCATATTAGGCCTATAGCACAGGTTTATGTTAAAATCAAATAATAGCAGTTCACCAGTTCATAGTTCATATAGCAGATGCCAGTTTGTAGCAGCGAATGCCAGCCAGTGTGCTGGAACTGTTCTCTTCATTGCACATTTTATGTAGTTTGTTTGATTTTTATTCACAAAGTGAAATAAATGTGTGCAATATGTGGTCAACATCAGTGAGTCTCTAAATCTATTCTCTTGTGTATAGTGTTATATATGTCAAAATCTGCTTCAACATTAATAAGGTCGCTGATTAACACTTGAAACTCAGTGTCATGATGGTTTAAAAAAAATCCGAAGGTAGTAAAAAAAGGTATTAAATTTAACTTAAGGATTGCTGTATATACCCTGTAACCATGAGACGGACACAGAGGCTCATCACTTATCATCTGTAATGAACTAACACTACAGCAAAACCCACAATATACTCCAGTCTGTCGTAGCTTAAAATTCAACCGGATTAAGATGAGTGACAAGGCAGACAGCCGAGGGAGGGAGGGAGGGAGGGAGGGAGTGGAGCGGAGCAGAGCAGGGCTGTGGAGCAGGGCTGTGGGCACTGCAGCGAAATGTGTGTGTGTGTGCACACAGGCATGTAAACGTACTGTTGGAGAGAAGAGGGAGTGAGAAAGTACAGCTGGTATCAGCACATCAATAGGACAGATAATAAGTATTGAAACTTTTCAAATATTCAGAATCTGTGTATCAAAAAATCTGTATCTTTGACAACACTACTTCTTGGTATTCTCTGACTTTGATGAGGAGCTTCTATGAACCAGGTGCAGTGGCTGTTCAGTGTACTACCTAATCCATTTTAACCTAAGCAGCCAAGCTGGTATGTTTAGTTCTTACGTTGTCTGTAGTGGTCACCTCTCTTCATCAACCACACCTACATGAAACATTTGATGTTAGGGTAAATCACGTTTTGTGTGCTTCAAGCTTGTTAGGCATTTCATAATGTGTCCAACAGTTCCTGTGAAAGGACGGTTGGTATTTTTATATGTGGTTTCATTTCATTGTAATCTTGTATTTATATTCTTCCCTCCAGCTCTGATCACAAAGTCAGACTCAGGCCAAGACTCATCGTCCCCCTCCACCACCCCACATACACTAGGCTTCTCATCCTCGTCAGCCACCCCACAGACCCATGCCACACCCACCTCCCAAGTCCTGCCTCCTCTGCCCCTGGCCCAGCCTCAGCCTCCCCCACGTGTGCCTCCTACGCCCCCTTCCCACACACCCCATCTGGGACCCCAGTTTCCCCTCTCAACTCCAGATGTCTTGGCCCAGGGCATGACCTCTGTTCCCCCTCCAGCTCCAACACACCCAGGCCTTCATCCTGCCCCGATGCTGCAGAGCTCTCCCGCCCTCATCAAGGTAAGGAGATGGAGGAGAGCGAGCTGTCATTGTTATAATAGATTTGATAGCATTTTCTAAGCTCTGATCGCTGATGCCCCAGCAGCAAAGGAAAAGCCAGAAGAGGAAAGCAGACACCACCACCCCCACAGCTAACGACCAGCTCAGTGAATCCTCCCCCGTCTCTGCTGAGGCTCGGCCGCGCCGAGAGAGCAGTCGCCCATTAAAGCTACCGAAACGAGACGCATCGCAGCCAGACTCTCAGCATCACCTGGGTGGTGGTTTGGAGACAGGAGGGACGATAATGCCGAAACGTCAGGAGCAGTTGCGTTTCTGCGCACGCCTAGTCAGGGAGATGCTGTCGAAGAAGCACGCAGCATATGCTTGGCCTTTTTATAAGCCTGTTGACGTGAAAGCTCTTGGTCTCCATGACTACTATGACATCATCAAACACCCGATGGATCTTGGCACCATGAAGGTGATTTTATTACATTTGGCGATCAACATATAATAGTAAAATCCTGAGGTTCAATACCCAGCCTTGACCTCAGTAATCTGCAGCTTTTATTTGGCCTCAAAAACAGACCGACTTAATGAATTAGGAAGGATTTTGATGAGGATGGTACGTTTCTGTTTGTTGTCTTTAGAAAAAGCTGGACAACAGACAGTACAGAGATGCTCAAGAATTTGCAGCAGATGTCAGGTTGATGTTCTCCAACTGTTACAAGTACAATCCTCCAGACCACGATGTGGTTGCCATGGCGCGCAAATTACAGGTAAGCAGCACATTTCACAAAATGTTAAGCAGACCACTGAAAACAATATATACATTAAGTGCCCAGAAGTATTTGTACACCCCAGTAAACATAAGAGGAAGCAAACCCCTGCAGCCAGGTTCCCAAATCCTGTGAAAATCCTTCCAAAAAGAGTGGAGGCTGTTGCAGCAACAGATTAATGCTCATGGCTCTGGACTGAGATGTTGAACAATCATATATGGTTCTGGTTTACATTCTTTTGGCTATATGGTGCATATGAACAGGTGCTGTGACTAGGTTTCATTCTACATCATGGCAAATTAGTAAAACACCTCGGTTTATTATTTTATTATTTTGTGTGAACACACAAGCCAGTTGAATGATCCACTACTGTGACAATGTCATAAACTTAACATGGCTAGTCACACAAAGGTGTAAACATGTTGGCACACTTCTTCAAGAAATTCTAGACACAGTTACAGAAACAAATGCACTTAAAATGAAGTGAGATGTGTGGCAGTGGGTATGTTAGTTAAATGCCTTTCTTTTGGGCTGTTGTCCATAAAAATGTACTGTAAAAATTGTGAGTACACCTTTTTATTTGATGATTGTGAGGTCTGATCAGCAGATTTTGTCTTCTTATTTGGGACATGTTCGAGCTTAGGGTGGATGCACAATACTTTTGCCTCTATGCTGTTTTTTCCTGAAAAAAGGAAATATACATAAGGTATATTAGGCTCTCAATTTTTCCTACCCATTGCTCTCTCTCTCAACAGGATGTGTTTGAGATGCGTTTCGCTAAAATGCCTGATGAGCCAGAGGAGCAGGCCCCTGTTCCCACCCCCTCATCGGCTCCCCACCCCGCCCCCTCCACTCGACCGGTCCCACCTCCTGCTGTCTTGACGACAGTTCCAGTTCCTCTGAATCGGAGTCCTCGGGAGGAGACTCAGAACAAGAAAGGAAACAGCGGCTGGCTGAGCTACAGGAACAGGTTAGAGGATGGAAAATGAAAGGGGGAGGGGGGGTCTTAAGAAACACAACAGGTGGGCCAGACAGAACAGCTTTACTGAACATGGGTAATTGTTGAAACATGGAGAGATCATAGTGCAGGCTGCTGTCTTTATATCTTTTAACTCTGTGTGTGTCCTCTAGCTTAAAGCTGTCCACGAGCAGCTGGCAGCACTCTCCCAGCCGCAGACAAGCAAGCCCAAGAAGAAAGAGAGGGAGAAGAAGGAGAAGAAGAAAGAAAAGCACAAGAAGAAGTTGGGTCCAGAGGAGCCTCTGGAGGCTCCTCCCCCTGCGCTGCTTCAGACTTCCAAGAAAAGCAAGAGTGGAAAGGAGCCAGTCATTGCGAAGAGGGAGAGGAAGAACCCTGGGTAGGTTTTACTGAGGCAATAAGATAAGTGATGCAAATGCATCTGTGTTAACTGGAGCTAATCAAATCATTTGTCAATCACAGTAAGAAGGAAGGAATTAAAAATAGTCGCCCAGCTGTGCCCCCTGAGCCTGGACCCACCCCTCTCGTTCCCTCAGCCTCTCTCGAAGTAGAGGATGACATGGGTATGTGTCGGAGAGAGATGCTGAGCATGATTTTTGTGTCCGAAAATGTTGGTGTCTTTGACAGTGGCCCATTATCAGCCTGCTGTTAATGCTGTCCTCTCCAGATGTGTTTGGGGGCGTGTCCGACGACAGATGCAAGCCAATGTCTTATGAGGAGAAGCGCCAGCTGAGCCTGGACATCAACAAGTTGCCCGGAGATAAACTGGGTCGTGTTGTGCACATAATCCAAACACGTGAGCCTTCACTGAAGAACTCCAACCCGGATGAAATCGAGATCGACTTTGAGACGCTGAAGCCCTCCACACTGAGAGAGCTGGAGAAATATGTCTCCAGCTGCCTCAGGAAGAAGAAGAAGTCTTCAGGTAGGTCCTTTTTGTGCTGAGCACTTGTTTTGGACAACTACGTGATTTTTCCAGTGACTCTCAGGTCAGTCTAGGCACTTGGATGTCATTAAATGCCATTGCATTTGAGATGAACTGTTAGATTGTCTCAGATGTGCAGCGAAACATCTACAGGACTACATACAAAACCCGTTACATCTGCTTTACAGCAACTGGGAAAAATGTCTGCTCGGTAGGGATCAATAAAACGAAACACAAGACCACTGCATACTACTGAACATATTACCACTCAGTATTTGAAATTTGTATTGAGGTGGACATGATTTGAAATTAAATGTTTTAGACAAGTCAACATCTTTGTATTTAATTCATATTTAATAGGTAACAACTATGGTTGAGTGATTTATTAAATATAATTTTTGATTTTCAGTGAAATAACATCATAATATTATTACCTTATAAAAATTTGTCTGAATAATTGGTTTTGATCAAGACATATCCCAGCCTTGTTAACAAGCCATCTGATGCTTTTTAAAGAACCTCATGTTATTGCATTCACCTTATCATTTTTTTTGAACACCAACTAAATATCTTGTGATTACAAAAGTGAAGCAGAAGCTGTCAGTGCATCGGTTTCTGAATGTTGTGGGTGTGTTTGTTGCAGTAGAGAAGCCTCAGGAAATGACAAATGTGACAAAGATGATGACAGGATCTTCATCTTCCGGCAGCAGCGACTCCTCCGACAGTGAAGACTCTGAGAATGGTACCGTACACACATCACCATGGACAGCCACATCATTTCTGCATAGCTAATAGTTGTAATTCAGCATATAATTTTTCCTCTTTTAAGATTCCGGTCTGCTTCCCACGCTGTCTCTGCCTTCAGGGCTGGTTCCCAAGCAGCAGAAGACCTCAACTAACAAAGACAGCAAAAGACCACACCACCAGTCCCTCAGTAGCGGAGCTGGCCCAGTTGGACCTCAGACTCAGCCCCAAGTGGTCCAGTCCAAACCACCATTTGTTCCCCCTGTCCCTGTCTCTGTCCCATCTCTGGACACCTCCCAGCTGTTGACTTCAGGATTTGATCCTCTGGCCCACTTCATGAACCCACACATGACGCAGTCGAACGCAGAGTCCAATCCAGCCATTACTGCAGCTGGTGTCCCTGTCACCTCTGGCCTCCTCAACACAAACACACCCAGTAGTCAGACGCCCACTGAGACTCACCCTTTCCTAAACCAGCATCCAATTGTTCCTTCACCAGGTGTGTAACACTGTGCTCTTACTTCTTTTTCAATATAATGGAAAGGGAAATTACATGAACGTAAATGGTTTTTAGGGCTGCAACTAAAATAACTTTCATTACAAGTTAATTTGCAAAACAAATTTTCTAGTAAACCAGTGGATTGTTTGGTCTATACCAGGGGTCGGGAACCTTTTTGGCTGAGAGAGCCATGAAAGCTACATATTTTCAAATGTATTTCCGTGAGAGCCATATAATATTGTTTTACACTGAATACAACTAAATGCGTGCATTTTTAAATAAGACCAACAATTTGAGTATAATAAGTCTCTGAATTTATTCTTTTTAATAACGTTGTTATACTGAAGCTAACCAATAATAAATAAAATACTTCTTACCATTAATGCGACTTCTGGTGCTGCATGATTTTGCTGATGGCTTTGTAGTCTGGTTGATACGTGGTGAGGTTAAGCTTCATGCAGGCGTTGAGGCTTCCATCCGTTAAACATGATCGTAGGTTGGTCTTGATGTTTTTTAGATGTGAGAACAACTGCTCACATGCTTACATAGAGCCAAACATGGTTAATAAGGCAATACTCACACGCTGCAGTGTGTGGTATGTGACAGGAAGCACGTTCCAAGTTTTGACAACCAGCTGGTTTGCAGGTTGAAGTTTTTTCATTTCTGTCCACTTGTGTTTGCTCGCCAGCTCTGCTTGTTGTCGTGCAAGTCTTTTCAAATCAAATCTTCATTCAGTGACTTGAACTTATTCACCCACATGTCTGAGGCCTTCAGGTCAGCAACTTCTACCTCAAAATCTCTGATGGAGACACCAGGGATGTAACTCAGGTCGACTTTGTCCACTGCACACTCGTGTGGATGAGTGAT